GGCATAAAAATGTTTTAATAAATAAATAAATAAATAAAATGAAAGGGGATCCCCCGCAGACAGGCCATGCCGCTCTGGTCCCAAAACAGTGACTGCATCCTTGGAAAAGACGCCACCCCGCTCCAAATTCTGCAATAAGGATCGTGGCCGACCCACACGGGACTTTCCCCGGCACTGTGACTGCAAGAACTTTCTGTTTTTGTCTGAGTCATCTGTCTGCATTCTGCTCATTGCGTTTTACTTCTGGTTGGCTTCTGTTTTTTTAAAATTTACTCTTACATGTTTGCAATATTCCTGATATTACTTTATTGTGTTTTTATGGAGATTGGTGTGGAAAAGATGGGATGCAGATTCCAAGGACAAATGGCTAAATAAATGAACCTTCCTGGAGAAAGTTCCATCTCAGACACTGCAGAAGTCTGGAGTGTCTTCTGCAGGGGAAAGGCTGGCCACGATCCAGGAGCATGCCCACTCTAGAGAACCAGCGGCTGGCTTCTCACCCAGGTATGCGCCATGGTTTTTCAGCTCCTCCGGGAACTCTTGCAGGTAGGACTCGCGGAGAGGGACCACCTTTCCGCCGCTGGTCTCCTTCAGCACTGCTCCGTTCCAGTCATAAGCACCCACAGCTCCCAGCAGAATCCCATCCTGTGCATGGGGAAAGGTGAGCGCTATGCAAAGAGCTGACCCTCCGTGGGCCAGCCCCACGGAAGCTGTGGGGCAGTTCAGGCACGGTAGCAACAAAGAAGCCTGAGCCCAGCCGGTCCTCAGGCCCATGGCAGCCCCCCTTCGCCAGCGTGAGGGCGAGAGAGAGGCACCTTCTCGGCTCGGCCTCTGCAGGAAGGCCAGCTGGACCGCTCTGCTCGCAGCCTCTCTGGTCCTCTGAACCCAGGAGGCCTGGGTGGCTGGGCTTTAGATAGCCTCCCCGCAAGCCCCCCAAAGTGGGGCCCCCCTTCTTCCACGCAGCTGCTGCTCAGCCCCATGCCTGCGGGGCAAGCCAGGCCGTGGCTCTCTCGCTGCTAAATAGCACCTCGCCATTAGGTCTCCCGGGTCTCCGGCGGCCTTCCTTTAAGTTTCCCGGCTCTGTCCCGCCCCAGCCCCTGGCTGAGACCCTCAGGGAAGGCCCGCCAGTGTCGGTGAGCTCCTTTCGGTGCCTATGCCCCGCCAGCGTGTGAGGCATCATTGCCTAGAACGGCCTGGCACATTCGGCTCAGCTCTGCGCTTCAGCCCCCCTTAGAAGAGCATCCATTATTTAAAGGAGCTTTTGGGAATGTGCGAGGGAGCCCTTGCCAAGTCAGCAAGTGGAATCTTGCGGGACCTGCCAGCTCCTCCAGCCTTCTCAATTTTGGCAGCGTGGATGCCCGACAACCAGCCCCTCTGTCCTCGCGAAAACAGCGAGTAAATCAGTTGCTCGCAAAGCTGCTCTCCAGGCCGAAAGGGACCGCGGGCTGCAACCCTCCCCGCCTGCCCGGCCGGCGCTCCTGCCCCCGCAGGAGGTGGCCCTTTCGTCGAGCACAGGGAAGGGCGCCCCGCCACGAGCCGGCAGCTGCCACAGAGGAAGTTGCTCAGCCTCCTCGGGGCTCTTCGGGCTGGCTCTGCAAAGCACTTCGTATCGATCCATTGGCTCTGCCTGCCCCTTGTCACTCTGTCAGCGGGACTCCAGGAGGCGCACAGCCAGCTGGTCTACCAGGGGATGCTTGTGGCAGGAAATCCAGAGAGTGACACCCCTGCCCTGGTGGGTAAAGACGGCGTAATGGAATAACAGACTCCTAGAAGAGTCGAGCCGGAAGGTCCCCTGAAGGCTGTGGGGTCCAACCCCCTGCTGGTGCAGGACACCACGCTACACCTTCCCACTCAGAGGACCATCCAGTTTCTTTAGGATTGCCTCTTGTGTGCGAGAGCCCCCCACCTCTCCAGGCAGCCCGTTCCCCTGTCGCATTGCTCTGACAGTGACGACGCTTTTCCTGATGCCCAGCCTGACTCTGGGTTGCCGCAGCTTGAACTGATTCTTCCGTGCCCTGCGCTCTGGCATCAGCAAGGAGAGCTCTTGAGTCAAGAAGCCACAGCCAAGCGTTTTCCCTTAACCTGCTGCAGGTTCTGCTAAGAACAAATCTAGTGCGAAGATGCAGGTACAGGTCTCCGCCCATCTCATTGTTCAGTCGATGCATGGTCAAAAACATCCGAAGGAGCCATTTCTTGGTATCGCATTCCACAAGGAGTGAACGGCAAACACATCTGCGAGTTGCTGGCCGTTGTTCAAAGCTTTCCTTCCCGATTGCGCCAGGGGATTAGCTCTCAGACCACGGAGGACTTGAGGACCCTGAATCGCCTCCCGCTTTTGAGACACAAATACCTTCTGCTACCATACATGGGCTTTCTGATGGCCTCACAGATCACAAAACAAAAGCTTCCTAGGCACACTAACTCCAACCACATGCCAAAGGCACATGAATCATTTATTATTTATTATTATTCAAAGTTTTTTATAATCATGGATGGAAATGACACAAACAAGAATGTTATTCACTCACTTCCACAATGTGTGATGAAAATCCCGTCTGGGACATTTCTAGGCCGAAGGATATTTCATTCTTGTTGGTACCTAAAACCAAAATGGAAGCATTTAAAGAATTATTTATTTATAACATTTCTATGCCACGCCCATCGCTGAAGCCTCGGGGCAGCTCACAATCAGGCATAGGATGATATTAAAAATTTGGAGTTTCTCGGCAAATATAAAACCATTAAATAAAAACCAGTTAACAATTAAAATATCATTGAAATAAACATTATTGGACACTCCATAAGGAAAAATGCCTGGATTTCAACTAAGGGGAAAAGAGAGAGAAAATAATCAATTACGACTTCCCGTTGCAAGTTTGTGGCATTAAGTGCTTGGTACAAAATTTATGCAGCCTGCTAAGGAGAACTGTGGATTTGGTGTATTTACAGGAAATGAGAAACATGGAATGAATACTTAAAAGTATGCATTTTAAAAACTGGAACAAATCTGTGCTTAAACTCATACACCTCAATTCAGTTGTCAGCATCAAGGGTAGGAATTCTGAGCATGAAATTTCTGCACCGCTTGTAATGCCTTCCCAGTTTATCTCAAATAAAAGAGCTCATCTATTTACACACGACAGGTAAACTCCTGCAGCTGAGATTAATGAGATTCCTAACACAGCTAAGCAATTTGCATGTCTCAGTACATGTGGTCTTCGGGATTAACCCGCTGATTTCGACATGCAAGCCATGCATTTGAGCACCGGAGTTAAAATCTCGCTCTTTAAGGATGCAATTTAACCAGAGGTGAGCATCTTAAAGTTCCCCTGAACTGAGCTGGAGAGAATTAGCGATGTGGGACTCTTGCACTGAAATCAGTGGCGCGTGGAAGCCTGGGACGGGCTGAGCTGCAACCGGCATTTCACAGAGCCTGGCTCTGCCTCTTCCTCTGCCAGGTCCTTTTTCGCACTAGGAGACAGCTAAGCAGGCCCCGGAGAGTTGCGCTTGTACAAAGGAACGACTAGCCCTTGAGCAAGCAGTGTTTCAGCCCCTTCAGCCTGGCCTTCACCTTTCCCCTCCAGGTCACAGGCCTCTTCTGGGAGAAGCTGAGGCAGGTACTAAGCACTTCCAACCTTGCCCTTGTACGCACTCTGTCGCCGCACTGCCTTCCTCGCTGAGCAGCTGAACGGCCCTCTCCCTCCTCCGCCTTCTGCTGCCGATGTATCTGAAGAGAGCACTCTTCCCCTTACAGCATCACGCACTAACCTCCGCTGATCTTCAGCGTCAGCCTCCCTGATGCCGCCCCTGCAATCCTTTGCTACCTGCCTGCACCCTTCCTTTGCCTCTTGTCCTTCCTCCCACTCCCTGAGTGTGTCCTTTTTGGTTTCCAGACATCTCTAAGCCTTTTGTGGAGCTACACGGGCTTCCTCTGTTGTCCTCTAGCTTTTTCTCTTGTTCGAATTGTGCCTTTAGAATTTCCTTTTTAAAAAAAAAAATTCTCACCTCTTGGACTCCTTCTCTCATTAGAACCTCTTGCTGTAGGACCTTACTTTTATTTTTTTCCTCAGTTTATTAAAATCAGGTTCCCCTGAAATCCAGGGGACGTGTTTGGCTGTGCTGCTTTCTCTAGAATCGGGAATGTAAGTGCAGTGTTGTCACGATGCCTCGGAGTTTATGCAAGTGCCTCTTTGTCTTCCCTGTCATTCAGAGTCAAGTCAAGGACAGCCGTTCCTGCTAGTCCGTCCTCCCCTTTCTGTAGAAGGAAGTTACCTAAAACTTTGGAAAGGGACGAGGCACTGTGAGAAAGCAGGAGAGCCAGACACAGAGGCAGCAAGCCGCTTACCTTCCAGGCTGAAAATCCTCTCCCCAAGAGCATCCACGATGTCTTTAAGAGCTGCCTCGTCACTGACATTAAAGAAATGCTTGTCGTCTGGGTCACTTGCTATATATTTAATCTCGTTTAGAAAGGCCTCCGGATTGATCCCTCTTCTGTTGTAATAACCAAGAACCTGGACAGAAGGGCAGTGAGATGTGTCAAAAACATACAAGGCAAAGTTCTCAGATGCAGAGAGACATGCATTTCTGCCTTCTTTCGAGTAGGAACAGCTGCAGCTGGGGAGCTGCCCCACTGTCTGATACCCCCGCCCCCAATCTGGACAGGCAAGTCTGGCAGAGTTTATCCTGCTCTCCGAGGTAGAAATGTTCTTGACATCTCCCGCCTCGCTTACAGGCAGCCGGAGTCCAGCCTGTCATTCCAAGGAGCGGAGAGAGTGCAAGATGGCTAGGCCAGCACGAGAAAACCCAAATGGCAGCACGATGCCACACACACACACACACACACACACGTTTCGGAATGCTGGGTAAATAGCAGATTAAAATAGCCTGGCAGCTAAGATGTTTCTGGCTGGGGAAGCTGGGCATTGAACTGGGGACCGCTTGCAAGCAAAGCGCAGTGACACGAATGCAACGGAACGCGCAGCTGCGCCCCACTTGCACGGAGGGCAAGCTCGCCTGCGCTGGAAGGCCTCGAAAGGAGGAGGGCACAGGGTCCTGCCTCCTCTCCAATCTTAGTTTGGGTTGCAACCATGTCACATGCACTCATTCCTAAATATGCTCGGTCCTATTTTTGCATCAATCTGCATTTCAAATCCACCCCAAAATTCTTCTTACAGATGTCTTTGAATACTGTGTTAATTGTATTTTCCCATAAAATACGCATTTCTAAATGCATCTCTTGGCAAAGGATGCATTTCTAAATGTATTTTATTTATTTATTTAATGTTTTTATATGCCGACCCAATACTAAAAGTCTCTGGATGGCTTAAAAAAACAGAAGTACAAAGCAATCATATACAACAATCAACACACACACTGCATCTGATAAATGATGATAAAAACCAGGATAAAACAAATTAACTGTTAAAATAAATCATCTGTATTTTCCCAAGTTTTCATCTTGAACCATGCACTATTCTATGCTTTTGCTTAACAGTGGTGTGATAAAACTGGGGGGAACATGCAGAATCTGAAGGGTGGCCGGATCTCTGCATTACTCTGAGGCATACAGAAGAGTTGCACTCAAAATGTGGAACACACAAAGCCCCGGAAAGGCTTGCCTCTCTGTCGCACGGGGGCTTCTGCAAAGGAGCAAAGAGAGGGGAGGACTTGGACCTGAAAAGCTCGGGCCACGGAAGCACCCCGTGGCTAAGCGCACATGCGGCCAGCCACAGAGGCCGTAGGCCCGCGAATTCAGAGGCTGATCAGCAGCTCCTAAATGAAAAGGCTGGTGAAGGCGTGTGTCCCGCCCTGCAAGGCCAGCGTGCACCCTGCCACCCTCCCATGCCTTGGGGCAGGTGCCTCTGCTTTGTGGTGACCTTAAGGTCAGCCCCCAGCCGAGGGACTCTGCACTGGAACATCTGCCCTGGAGCCCTCGGCCAGGCGCAGGCCTTCGGCAGCAGACACACGATGCTGCAAACATTTGAAAGACGCCTTTGAACCCCGCAACTTTCTGCCCGTTTCCGTGCAAGCAGGCTTAGGGCCTGGTTACCTGAAGGAGCGTCTTCTTCCACATGTGCCTGGCCGCCCCTTTAGATCTGGGGCAGAGGCCCTTCTCCGGGAGCCCTCCTTGAAGGGGATTAGGAGGGTGACTCCCCAGGGAAGGGCCTTTCTGTGCGGCTGCCCCAGTTGTGGAATTCACTCCCCAGAGAGGCTCGCCTGGCGCCGTCACTTTATTGTTTTCAGTATCCGGCCAAACCCTTTTTATTTTCTCATGTTTTAAGGTTTGACTGTTTGAATTGGGGAAGTGTTATGCATTAAATTTTAGGACACTGTGTGTGTGTGTGTGTGTGTGTGTGTGTGTGTGTGTGTAGTATTGTTAAACCGTCCCAAGACTTCAATAATGGGATGGTCCACAAAAGTTTAAATACATACATACATACATGCAGGAGTGGAAGCTCCCGCGGCAGCACTACCGAGGCGGACTTACCGCGACCGCGTATCTGGTGACGTTGTCCCTCTCGCTGGCCTCCATCACCTTCTCGAGGTCGGGGCTGTCGTGGGACTCGCCATCCGTGATGACGATCATCACCTTCTTGGCGCCCTTCCGCCCGCCTTTCTGGAAGGCTTCTGAGCTGAAATGGGAGCCGAGCAGGGGAGGGTGAGGGGTGCAGCGTTTTGTGGATGCGCCCCTGACAAGACGCGCCTGCTGTTGGATGCGGAGCGCCGCAGCACGCATTTCCACGGGCAGTCCTGTTTCTGTGCAAATTTTTAAAAAGCATCCGACATGGGAACAGGCGAGGGCCAGAAGGGGATCAGCTGCAATCTTAGAGCCACTCCCAGGCCACCGAAACCAACATTTTCCAAGGAAAACGAGCAAAGCTGCCTCGGATCCCAGTTCCCTTCCTCTGGAAGAAAGGACTGGCCGAAAACCAAAGGCCCATCACTTGTAAGATGCTCCGAACCCCAAGGGAAGATGCAACAAGGAGCACCAGGTGCTTTTTCCCGGGCAAGGAATGTATCGGGGCGGACAATTCAGTCCGGTAAATCGTAAGTGGCTTCTGACACACACACAAACGGAGACCACGAAATGGGACCCACACGAGCGTGCTAGAGAATAACACGGCTCAGGGTCACCGAAGGGCCTCGGGGTAACACGGCACCCCGAGCTCAGGCAGCTTTGCCTGCCTCTCGCAGAGGCTCTTGGCTGCAATCCAGCCCTCACTTGCTGTGCAAAGCTTTCGCTCCGTCGCTGGCCGTGCGATCCCTTCTTAACGTAAAGGCTGCTTGTGAGAATCCACTCCTGGGTTGGCGAGGCTGTGCAGTCGAGCCGGGGCGGGGGGGGGGGGGGGGCCGGGGGCGTGCCAGGAAGGAGAAAGGGCGTGCTTGTGCATTGTGGGGGAGTTGCAAAGAAACAAAGAACCTCGTTTTTCAAAGATTTGCTGGAGGGTGTGGGATGGCTGCAACAACTCTCAACAGAGCTGGTGCTTGATTTCTAAAAAGAGGCAAGTTGCGGCTTCGTGGAAGAGCGACCCTTACTCTGCACGCTCCATTTCTTCTTCCTAAGTATGCAGGGAGGCTCAGTGCTCCAAAGACAGCACTCTGCATATGTTCAGAGGCACTGTCTTGAGTATAGGCATGTGTGCCTAGGAATTCTGTGCCTAACTGACCTTGTACCTCGACATTCCTCACCTGCGAACGGGACCAGTGTGCAGGTCGGTCGAGGTGTTGCAAGATCTGGCTCCTCCTCGTGGTGTGTGGCTTACTTCACGGCTAGTGTCAACGGGGCTTGGGAACCCATCTGCTCTTGTGTGCTTCAAGAGCCTTTATGCTTTCCATTTCGTCACAGACATGAGCTCCAAGCGCTGCAGAAAATGCTTTTCCCCTCCTACTTTTCCGCTAGCCGCCCCCCGGGGTGGAATATCACAACTCCATGGAGGAAAATACTGCTTTTGCTCTCGGAAGTAACAGTCCGTTTTGCCCAGCCCTAAGCCCCCCCGGGAAGCTGCTCTTAAAAAGAGCCGAATCGGCACCAGCCAAAAGCCCCGAGCAGGGAATCGTGGGCGCACAGCAAAGGAGTGGGAAAGTGGCGTCCCGACGCGCCACTCGGCTCCTGTGCCCGAAAGAGCCGCCCCTTTCCCCCGTGCCGTGCCGTGCCGTGCCGTGCCGTGCCGGCGGGGGCACTCACCGAGCAAACTCTATCCCGAATGCCGTCCGGGTCTCGGTGCCGCCTCTCTGCTCAATGTGCCTTGCGGCTTCCACCACGTCCTTCACGGACCTGTAGTCGTTCAGGTGGAATTCGTGCACAGCATTCTCCCCGTACTGGACGACCCCGACCTGGAGGAGGAAGGAGCGCTTTGAGGGACCAGCAGGCCGAGCAATCCCTCAGCCACGGCCCGCTTCGGCCAACGAGGGTGGGGTGCGAGCGGGAGCTCCGTGGCCCTGCGGCAGGACTGGAAAATGAGGCAGCGCCCGGGCTTTGCTCTCTGCGGGAAATGGGCTCCCCAGAACCTCTGAGCCTGAATCTGCCAGTTTCTGGAGGCCCTCCTCTTAATGCTCAGTCTGTGTGAAGATGTAAATAAATGTCACGAGCCAGAAATGCCACAGGCCTCGGTGGCTCGTCTCTAAGGGATGCCTCGGAAACGTCTCCCCACTTGGAAGTGGCCTGCGAAGTGTAACCGTGCAAGCAAAGTGGATTTCTTACTGGAGGAGAGATGATGCCCTGGCAAGGGGGAGGCACCTTGGCAAAGCAGCCGGGGAAAGTGTGGAGCCAGGCTGAAGGCGCGTGCTGAGAGGGGCCCCGGGCACTTTTTTACCTGTATTTGGCCTGGTCCAATGTAAAACTTCTTCAAGATTTTTATCAGGAAATCCTGAACTTCCACCCAGGGGTAGATGCTGTTGGATCCATCCAGGACGATAATTATATCCATGTAGGTCTGGCATCCTGCAAGGGGACGGGTGAGAGACCCTTGAGAGTGCTTGGACGCCGATGGGCTGGGAAGCAGAGCCCGTGAGACAGTCCTGCTTTTGGGCCAGCCTTCCTCTGCCCTTGCTCTCCGACCCGCTCCTTCCCTGCCTCGCGGTGCTTCTCCTTTATTGCGCTTTCCTGGGGCATTTGTACGCTTGCGGCCGAGCGGCTTGCCATCACCCCGGAGGAACGCCGGTTCCATGAGGGGCTAGGCCAGGAGGGCCTCCCTACACCTCACCAAGATGTGGTGCCCATTTCTGGGGAAGAAGCCGGTGTGGATGAACTCACGCAGCGCCCCGGCCCAATGCTATTTGCAGGTGAGGCGTGTCCGTGGCAGGAGGAAAACTCTGGCTCTGGCGAAAGCAGGACCTGGGAAGGCTCAGCTTTCTGGCTGCCTTGGCGGTTGTGGCGGTCCCCCCCCCCGCCCCCAGGAGGAGCAAAGAGCGGGGAGAGCGGGACGCATACCTGGTGTGGGGCTGAGAAGCTTGAGTGGCTCAGGGCGCCCAGGGCCCCTCTCCCCAAGCTGCGCCTGCAGAGGGCCTGCCGAACCTCGCTTTGCTCCCTAACTGCAGTCGGACAAATCCTGGCAGAGAAGGGTTGCTTGCACGCGCTCAGATCTGCACCCTTCCCCAGAAACCGCCCGTCTCCAAGCCAGGACTTTCTTTAGTGCTGCCGTTCCTTTAAGACAGGGGTCCTCAGACTAAGGCCCAGGGGCCGGATCTGGCCGCCATGCCCATTTGGACCCACCGCACGCGCGCCCACGCCCACACGCGGGTCCACTGCCGCCCACCTCACCCCGCGCGCAGTTTGCTTGCTCGGAGAAAATGATGCCCAAGCGAGCAAGCCACTGCCTCGTGCGGCCGCCTCGCGGTGCCCGCCCGCCCGCGCCTGCCCACACCGCGCCTCGCCTCGCCTCGCCGCGCGTCCCGCCCCGCCTCAGTGCGCGTGCCCCGTCCCCGCGCCGGCCCGCACGCACCGCCAGCACCCCCTTTCTGGCCCGCGCCCAGCACCCGCAGCTTTCACCTGGCCCCTGGTGGAAAAGTCTGAGGACCCCTGCTTGGTACAGTGGTGCCTCGGCTCACGAACTTAAACCCTTCCAGGACTCTGGTCACGACCCAAACTGGTCGCGAGCCAAGTCAAAGTTCCCCATAAGGGCCAATGGAAAGAAGCTTCCTCCGTTCTGCCACTATTGTTTTACTCACAAAAATCTGAAGCAAAGTGACAAAGAGCAACAAAGGTCGCGGCCATCTCCCCCCCCCCAAGTGATCGTGTGGGGGGGGGCGACAGGCGCGACCGTGGATGCCCTGGGGTGGGAGGCGGGCGCAATCGTGATCGTCACCCGACGCAGAGTTCACACCCTGCGGCAACATTTTTATGGAATTCCTGCTTGCGACCCGATGTGGCAGTGAACTGAGGCATTCGTGAGCCGAGGTGCCACTGTATTTGCACGTTTAAGCAGGCTCCAAACTGCAAAGACACCTACTCAACGGACAGGTCAATAAAGCCGTCAGTATTGTTTTCCATGCTATTGTTATCGGTATTTCTGATCATCTAGACCCTCATGTCATGCCTTAAGGCATCAGGATGCTCTTGTACTAACATTATCTGGAGACGGATCACTCTGTCTTGGGTTATGGGACTAGCAGGTTATAAAAGTGCCTGTCCATGGGCTGAGATGCTGCAGCTGAGGGTGAGGACCACGGCCCGGGAGCACAAGCAGCAGCAGGGTCCTGGGCGATCTTGCAGTAAAACTGCTGAGGTTCGAGATGAAAGGGTGAGCCTGCTCACCCTTGTTGTGGCTGCCACCGAGGCTCCCCGACACTGCAGCCGGAGGGCACAGGCCTGGCACGTGCTTGCGGCTTTCGCCTCACGTGGGAAGCAAGCACTGCGCCACCGCGGGCACCTGAGGCCCACCGGGCAGGTTCCCCCAGCTGCGGCACCTCCCCCAAGCCCAGGCGCCTGGCTGCTTCCCCAGTGGGCCAGGGGGTCAGGGAGCCCACCCCCTCCCTGGCTGGGGCAGAGGGGGCGCTCGCGAGCAGACTCTTCTCGTACTCTGGAGAGCTGGTGCCACGGTCTTGGAGAACCGGAAGTTGGAGTTCACCCTGGAGCACATTCCCGTGGTGTAGTAAGAACTTCCGCACTCGTGGGACCAGAGTGGGCTGCAGGCCTGCGGGAGGGAGAGGAGAGTTTAGGGAGGCACGCCAAAAGCCTCTGTGGATCTGGGCCCAGGAGGACAGAGCGGGTGAAAGCGCCTCGGAAGGGAACCCCTGTGCAGAAAGGGCGGGCTGGGCTGGGCTGGGTGGAGGCCGCGGGGGGCACCCTAGGGGAGCCAGCGCGTGGAGGACAGGCAGGGCCGCTTTCGTTTATTCATTTGGCTTACAGTTTTTGTATCCCGCCCTTAGCGGAGTCTCCACTTTTGCTGAAATGTGTTTTTCACACTGCCCCTCATCCTTGCGGAGACCAGGAGAGTGGGTCTCTCCAGCCAGCGGGTCCGGCTCACATCACTGCCCGATGTGTATAGTTTTATTTTAGGGGTGTTTTAAGGGAATGGAGAACTTGGAGCGAGGAACAGGGGAAAGGCAAAGAAACACGGGCACCAGTGGCCACTCCTCGGGTCCCGTGTGCACATGAAGGCTTAAAATGGCTCCCAAACACGAAATGATCAAAAACACCCCAGCCGAGGAGAGCAGGCGTGCGCTCACACGCAAAGACTCCTTACCAGAAAGCTGTTATCTTTGGGGTTTGTGGTCAGGCTCAGCCCCAGGCGCATGTTATCCTTGCGCTCCGACACATTGGAAAGAGTTACTCTCCCTTGGGAAAAAGAGCGTCACAGTTAAGCGCGACGCAAGGAGGTGCGAGCCACGGCACAGTCAGCTTCGTGGGCAACGGAACAGCTCCCAGCTGCAATCCCAGGTGGGGAGGACACCGGGGCACCCCCTGCGTTCCCCCCCCCCCCCGTGCTCTCGTGGGCTCTGTGGCTGGCAGTGTCCCAGCCGTCCAGCCACCCGGGTGTGGGCATCACACGGCTTCTTGCAAACTACTCCAGCATTGCACTTAGCACCATTCCGTGCCCCTGGGGAACTCTGGACAGCAAACCCAAGCCGGGATTGCGATGGCACAATATGGAGTTTTTCTTCCAATAATACGAACTGCACACAACCCCGTCAGTTGCAGGCCTTGGGAACCTTTTTCAGCCCAACAGCTCAGTTCGGTTTTGGCGAAACTGCTGGAGTAGCGGCTGGAGACAAGCATGCCGCCCTTTCCCCAAAGCCGACGCTGCCTGCTCTGCTGCTTGCGGCTTCCGATGCACTCGGCCACTGACTGAGCCGCCCCGAGGCGTCCTGGCCCTTCAGAATGCCACAGATGTGGGGCACATGCCCACGGACAGGCGAGTGGTGGAAGGGGGCTGGGTCGAGGGGTGGGAGGCGAGAGGCCCGGGCCTGAGGTTCCCTTCCCATTTTGCTGAGTCCATCCGGGCAGACTGATCCCGGACAGTGACTGATCTTTAGTTGGCCCTGCTGCCTGGGAACCCCCGACTGGAGAGGAGTGGGGCAGAGCCTACCGTCCCCCATGGCCCTGCCCCGAACCTCTGGGTGAGCCGCCGGCCGTGCTCCGACAGCGTTCAGCATGCCACTGGTCCTTGAGAGGGGCAGGAGACGTCTGAGCAAGGAAATTGTGGGGGATTTCACACAGGGCAGGGAGTTCAGTGGGGCATCCAAGGAAACATAGAAACATAAAAACAGATTGAGCCAGAAGGGGTCTCCCGGGCCATCTAGTCTGACCCCCGGCTCCAGCCGGCTCCGCTCATGACATGCCCACCATGTGGATGTCCAGCCTCTCCTTGAACACCCGCACCGATGGGGCCTCAACCACCTCCCGTGGAAGCCAATCCCATATCCTTGGGGTCCTAACTGTCAGGAAGTGCTTCCTGGCATCCAAATTGAACCTTGGTTCCCTGAGC